CGCTGGTTGAACGGTGTCATGCGAAATTGTCGGGGGGCGAAAGCAAAACAAAAAAGGAGGGAAAGTTGTGGGTGTCTTTTCAAGCTACTTGAGTGATAGGCGGAGCCCGTATGCCACTCCACCGCGAATTTTGGAGTCTATTCGGTAGACCCCCGAAAGGGTTTGATATCGTTACATGGAGGCACGGCGAGGGGTGTATTGCCAAGGATGCCTGGGATTTGCTAAGTATTTTTGACAGGTACGAAGATGGGTGAACGTCGGAGTACCAGGGCTAACGGCGGAAATGTCAGGACTACAAGGCAGAAAATACTTCGGGGCTTGATTCCTCAACCATGATTTTTGGGTGCAACTTCAACGGTGGGAGACGGGTGAACGTCTGCTCGCTAGCTGTTTTAAGCGTTTCTCGGTGTACTCGAAGCAGTCTGGGGGAGTTCTGCTGCGAGATTTGCGGCGTTGATGCGCGCTAGGGTCCGTGAAAATCGATCTCGGAAGACCCATAAGTACTGGGTTCCACGCCAAAAAAGCAGCTCCTGTTGGTGGGTCGCTTGGGCGGTTAATCGCACGAAAAAAATGGTGACCGGGTGGGCGCGATAGAAACACCGGTTCTTTCGGGGGACAACCTGCAGGCGACCAAGACTTTACGTGGTGTGGTTATTTCCGACATTTGCGGGTGGACCCAGCAGTTCCGAGAATGAGTCTTAACGGAGTCAGCGGGGTCGCTGACAGTATCCGTGCCGGCGGCGGAGTTGCAGCGGTGCTTGATTAAGCGCGCGAAGGCACTTGTCGTCACATGTGTAGCCGTACAAATCGGAAGCTGCTCGGGGGTACCAACGACAACAATTTCGACAGCACAGCGGCTGCATTTCAGGCGGGAGTTTATAACATTTGGTATTATGTTCTACCCTCGGCCTCAGGGCGATTGTGGTTTTGTGCCCGCGCAGCTGTGCACATGTCGGTGGGCAGCAGTTATCTTCAGGGGGGGGGGGGGGGAGAAAGCGTGCTCACGCACTGTTTTCGGTGGTTTGAAGAACAACTTCCGTCCCACACTGTGCCGCTCTGCCGAAAAACGCCCACGACGCACCCTCCTGCAGCAACACCTGCCGCACCCGGGCGGGACGACGATAGACCCCCGAAAATCATGGTTGAGGAATCAAGCCCCGAAGTATTTTCTGCCTTGTAGCCCCGACATTTCCGCCGTTAGCCCTGGTACTCCGACGTTCACCCATCTTCGTACCTGTCAAAAAATACTTAGCAAATCCCAGGCATCCTTGGCAATACACCCCTCGCCGTGCCTCCATGTAACGATATCAAACCCTTTCGGGGGTCTACCGAATAGACTCCAAAATTCGCGGTGGAGTGGCATACGGGCTCCGCCTATCACTCAAGTAGCTTGAAACGACACCCACAACTTTCCCTCCTTTTTCGTTTTGCTTTCGCCCCCCGACAATTTCGCATGACACCGTTCACCCAGCGTCCCGCTTTTGTCGAATGAGACATTCTTCGTGTTGACCCGCGATTTTTCTGGCGTTCGATGAAGGCGCGAACACAATCGTAGCCGGGGTGAGTTTATCGTATCAAACGCCCGCCCGGCCGCTTCGCTGCCCACCGTGCCTATCGCACTGAAAAGACCCCACAGCTTCGGGAACTCCATTCGCTGCTACACCGCCGTTGGGTAGACCGTTGAATCAGGAGAAACACCGACAGCTGCCACAATTTCCTCAGTCCCGACTTTTTCGGCAGGGTAACTATCGCCGATGGTCCGTTTTTGTCGGGGCCGAACACTGTCGCACCACAAACTGTTTTCTTGTACGCCCTGCTGTCGAACCAGCGCCACCCATGCCTTTCTAACCAGCATAGGGCTAAAAACACAGGGCCCCACCTTTTTATCCAGTAGCCAACAGGACTTACGAATTGCTTTCGAGGCTTTTCTGGTGTGAGGTATGTGAAACGTCGGTAGACTTGGCCGGTAGGGAGCTCCTTCTGCTACCGCCGCTTAGCCGTGAGACTCGGCCTCAGCAAAAGTCGTCGCTGTAGGTCGTTTTTCTCGCCTCCTGAAGTCGGAACCCGTTTCTCTCGCCGGACCCGTATTAGTCGCAACTCCGTTTATTGTAGCCGGTAGAACCCCCGAAAATTCGCGGGTCTAAACGCTGCGCCGAATCGTTGTTCCGTGGTGTACTGGGCTGTCTGCAAACACAGGTACCTCTGGCCGGAGGGAACTGTGCCGCGTGAAGTGCAGAATCGGCTACAACTGTTGCTCCGAAATTTTCGCCGATGAACATTGTGCCAGAAACAGTAGTCACCCAAGCCGAAACAGTCTGGTTGTAGGCGGCCTTTTCCGAACTTTTCGGTGGTTTGAAGAACAACTTCCGTCCCACACTGTGCCGCTCTGCCGAAAAACGCCCACGACACACCCTCCTGCAGCAACACCTGCCGCACCCGGGCGGGACGACGGTAGACCCCCGCTTTCTTCGGGCAGTCGCCACGCCGCCTCTCCTCGCCGTCGGTTTTTCCGACGCAAATCACACATTGCGCCTGGCTGCTCGACCAGTAGTCGTTTTCCACGTGCTGCTACCCGAAATCTTCGCGCACAGTGACGACGCGCCACTTGCGGAGGACTTCCACTAGCTCGTGCGCAACGTGACGAAGACGCCCATCGCCACTTGCCGCACGCAGCTAGCTCCGTAATTGTCGCGCGCAGCTGTCGACCACGTGTCGACGCAACTCGCACGACGATCTTGCTTCCGAAAACTTTGGACGTGCGCCGGCGACGTGTCAGAATAATATATAGTTTTATATATGGTTTAGTGACTGCCTGTAGTGTAGATTACTGTAGTTATACAATATTATGTTTGGTGGTGCACCTTCCTTCTTGCCTATATGTACTGCTCGCTCTATAGTGAAACCACTTCATTCTCGTTCTATTCTCAACATGGTAGAGAGCACGTAACGCTCCTGGACTCCTGCTTCCGCTGCTACTGAGTGTACTGCACGCCCCGTGGCGTGCCCTACTTAAGTGGCCCCGCCGCCCTACGCTTCGCGGCCCCGCCGCCCTTTCTTAGCGGCCCCGCCGCCCTGCTATCGCGGCCCCGCCGCCCTACTATCGCGGCCCCGCCGCCCTGCTATTGCGGCCCCGCCGCCCTACTCTGCGGCCTCGCCGCCCTACTCCTGCGGCCCCGCTGCCCTACGTTGCGGCCTCGCCGCCCTTCACTGCGGCCCCGCCACCCTTGTTGCGGCCCCGTCGCCGCCTTCACTTGTGGCCCCGTCGCCGCCCTCAGCTGCGGCCCCGTCGTCGCCCTTACCCCGGCCCCGTCGCCGCCCTCACCAGCGGCCCCGCTGCCCTCTGTTGCGGCCCCGTCGCCGCCCTCGGCCCCGGCCCCGATGTCACCTGCGGCCCCGCCAACTGAGGCCCCGTCGCCACCTGCGGCCCCGCCCACCCCTGCGGCCCCGTTGCCCACTTCGGCCCCGCCCACTTGCGGTCCCGCCCCCCCCCTTCTTCCCGTCACCTGTCGCGGCTCCTTCGGGGGCCGCGACCTGAAAGGGGGGGGGAGTCGTCGCCCCCTCTGCCGCTTGCTTTGGCGCCCGGGGAGGCCGTGCGTCGGCCCCCCCCCCCCCCCCCCCCCCCCCTTTCCCCCCCCCCCCCCCCCCCCCCCCTTTTTTTCTCCTCCTCCTTTGTTCCCTCTGCTGCAGCTGCCGCTGGGGGGGAGGGTGTGAGAGTGTGGGGAACCCGGGGAGGGACTGGGGGTGGCGGGTGTGGGGGTGATGGGTGAGTGTGGTCCCCTGGCCCTACGGCTCCATTCTCCTCCGTTTGCCCCCCCCCCTTCTGCTGCTCCTGCAGCAGGGGGAGGGGGAGGGGGAGGGGGAGGATGAGGGGATGTAGGGGGTGACATACCAGGGCCCACCGCCTCCTCTCCTCTCTCTCCCTCTCCCTCTCTCCTCCTTCTTGCCTGCCCTCTCCCATTCTGCTATGCACTCTTGGTGTACCCCTTCAGGGGGCGTTGACTGCACATTCTTCCCTACAGGCACTTATGGGGGCGTGTCAGAATAATATATAGTTTTATATATTGTTTTGTAACTGCCTGTAGTGTAGATTACTGTAGTTATACAATATTCTGTTTGGTGGTGCACCTTCCTTCTTGCCTATATGTACTGCTCGCTCTATAGTGAAACCACTTCATTCTCGTTCTATTCTCAACACGACGAGCCTGCCGACGTCAGCCGCTACACGGCATTAACTCCGAAATTGCCGAAAACGACTACTATTACTCAAGCATTAATTGCGACGACAGCAAAAGCTGTCCGCCACCCAGGGGGAGGGAGGCCACGGTCCATCTCGACCGTCGAGGGCAAGGATCCATCGGTGCCGCAGGAGCGCCTTGAAATTCATGGCCGCTAGGAGCAACTACCCGTTCTCCTCGCTGGCTCTTGCGCTGCTCCTGTCACCAAGGCATCCTTCCCTGTCCCCCCCCCCCGAGGGGTATTACACTCTAAAAAACGGGGAAGCTAGGAAAGTAGCTCTGATACCAAGTGTTATGAGTTTTACTAGACAGAGTGCGCGGAAGACTATATAAAAAAGATGTCGAATACAGAATGACGAAACAATGAAGAAAGCGAGAATATATAGGGCGAAAACTAGCTAGGCGAGAACCTCTAGATGTGCGTGGCTCGGAAAGTGTCGCGATTGGTGCGGGGCGACTCGGTAGTGGTTCGGGCCGAAGTGTAGGCCGAACCTTGAGAGTGCCCCGAAGTGCTCGGGGCTGTACACCCTAGGAGCAAACTCCGTAATGAATAAGTCATATTCATTACACTCTGATATATACAAAAAGCAGAAATTCAAATAACTACACTGTGTATGAGAGTTTCTTTCTGGATTATTAGATTACAAGTTGCTGTACTACCTTACCGGTGGAGGGAGCCCATAAATGCTCCTTGGCAATGGACGAAATCACTATGGATATCCACGTAAACAGAATCCAAAAATTCATCAAACCACCAGATACTAACTACGCAACAGAATCGAACCATTCGTCAAAATCATCTAGTGCCGGTGGTGCAGCTGCTGCCTTCAGTTCAGGCTTCACCTGTGCAGCACCTACTTTAGCCACACCCGAACCACCTGCTGCCTTCCTCTCTCCCGTGTTTGCACTTGTGATTCTGCTGATGCTTCCTGCCTGCCCTCCTAGCAGCTCATCAAAATCATCCAGTGCGGGTGTCTGTGGCGCTGCTGCTGGCTTTAGTTCAGGCTTAACCTGTGCAGCACCTGCACTGACCACACGCAAACCACCTGCTGTCTTCACATCTTCCTTGGTTGCAATTGCACCTCTACTGCTCCCTACCTGCCCTCCTAACAGCTCATCCAGATCATCTTCCCCTGCGAAACCATGCACATGCCCATGCCCATGCGTGTTCACAGGGGCTGCCTCCCCTGCTTCTGCTTGCTGCTTCGTCTGCAGATTCTCTGCTCTGGTTGCACCGCTGCTGCCCCCTGCCTGCCCTCCCAGCAGCTCATCCAAACCATCTACCTCTGCAAACCCATGCCCATCATTCTTACTTCCTGCTTGCTCCCCAAGCTGTTCTAGCTGCTGTTTTGCTGTGCCCTCCTGTGTGCTTGGTGCCAGTCCAGAGGCTGCTGCAGGCTGTGGTGTCAGAGGGAGGAAGGACTTTTGAAGCTGCTGCTTCTGCTGCTGTTGCAACTCATTCTCCTCTCCCTGCTGCCTTCCCAAGTGACGCCCTCCTTCTCTACTCTCACCCTCTTCCTCGTCCCCTACTGCTCTGAACTCCTCTGCACCACTGTGAATCGCCTCAACCGCCACCCAGTCGCTCTCATCCGTGGCATAGCACCCAGGGTCCAGCCACCAGTGGGAAAAAGAGGAGGAGATATCCTGCCTTGGTTGAGACTGCTGTTGGGCCTGTTGGAAAGAAGTCAAGGGGTGCAAGGTAGAGAAGATGAAGAGAGTCAACCACCAACCAGTCCCTCCCGGTTGTGGCAACACACCCAGAGTTCAGCCACCAGTGGGAGAGAAACGAGGAGATATCCTGACTGGGTTGGGACCGCTGCTGTGCCTGCTGGTTGAAAGTCAGGGGATGGGAGGGAAAGAGAAGATTCAACGACTGCCCTCGGACCCTCTCATCCATGGCACAGCACCCGGGGCCCAGCCACAAGTGGGAGGGAGAGAGGAGATGAGATACCCTGACTGGGCTGTAATTGCTGTACCTGTTGTTCGGAATTTTGCAAGGGTGGCAGACAAGACCATCGCGGACACGCACAACACATCAGGTGGGTGGCACATCAGGTGGGTGGCACATCAGGTGGGTGGCACATCAGGTGGGTGGCACATCAGGTGGGTGGCACATCAGGTGGGTGGCACATCAGGTGGGTGGCACATCAGGTGGGTGGCACATCAGGTGGCGCAGCAGGCGGGTCAGGTGGCACATCAAGTTGGGCGAGGCTGTTGGGGAGATAGAAGCAACACAGCCCAGTCTCTCTCATCTGGGTCATAGAGTTCACGGACCAGCCACCCGCACTGGGATTCCAAGCAGGATTTTGTTTTTTGTTTTCCTATCAAAACCGCGTGTCATGTTGAGTGGACAGAGAAATCGTAGGCTACACAGTACGCAGCTTGAACCGCATGTTACCTTGTCTGGAAAGAAGGTGCTCCAGTCATGGGAGGGCAGCAGCAGCAGCAGCAGCAGAAGTCAGTGCAGAATGTGGCTTACATGTCTTACAAGAACGGTACTATCATCCAAACATGTTCAGTTGACAGCTTGAACGAAGTGTTACCTCGTCCAAAAAGAAGGTGGCCCGGTCGTACGGGGACAGCAGCAGCAGGGACATGACGAGCACACCAGCATAACTCAAGGGGCGTGTTACCTCGTCCGGAAAGAAGATGGCTTGGTCATGAGGGGCAAGCAGCAGCAGCGACGGCAGCAACACCGCCTGCAGGTGCTTCTCCAATGCCTCTGAGTCGAACTGCAGGAGGTGCTCTAGGGAGAGCTGTGCAGTGGGGAAGGGGGGAGAGGGGGAGGGACAGGGAAGGGGACAAGGGAATGTACAAGGATATTGAGGTTTATGTTCTCTAGGCTTTTGAGGCGCCTCAAAATATGTTCTCTAGGCTTTTGAGGCGCCTCAAAATATGTTCTCTAGGCGGCAGCACTGGCACCGCCTGCTTTTGTTTCTCCAATGCCTCCGAGTCCAACTGCAGGAGCTCCTCTGAAGGAGAGCTGTGCGGTGGGAAAGCAAGAAGAGAGACGCGTGTAGAATATTAGGGTACTGGGGGTTAGTAGAGCAGCGGCACAGCCTGCAGGTGCTTCTCCAACGCGTCTGAGTCGAACTGGAGGAGATGCTCTGGGACGGCTGTGAGGTAGGGTGGAGGGACAAGGAGGAGAACAAGGAAATGTCTAAGTGGCAGCGGCGGCATCGCCTGCAGGTGCTTCTCCAATGCCTCGGAGTCGGACTGGAGTAGGTGCTCTGGGGAGAGCTGTGAGAAGGAGAGAGAGGGGGTAGGGGACAAGGAAGGGGACAAGGGAATGTAAAAGGGGATTGTTTGGGGCCCTAACCAGTAGCGGCACTGCCTGCAGGTGCTTCTTCAATGCCTCTGAGTTGATTCGGAAAAAGGTTCTCTGGGGAGAGATTTGAGGTGGGAAGGGAGGGAGGGGAGGGGGATAGTGGGAAAATGAGAAAAGTGGGATGCCTATGCAGTATTCCTATGCAGTAACCTTTCCTTTTACTTGCTGGAGATACAACGGCACAGCCAGCAGGTGTTTCTCCAGCAAGTAAAAGGAAAGGTTACAGGCTGCAGGCGCAGGTTGGCAAAGGCACCACACTAAGCCACACCACACCACACCGCACCACACCACACCACATTGTTCAATCTGCTCTGATCTCACCTCATTTGCAGCAGTTGAGGTGGGCGCTGGAGCAACAGAAGGAGAAGGCATGGTGAAGGCCCAGAGGGGGTGTTGCAGGAATTGCAGAGAGCCCGAGGGGAAGAACGGGGAGACTGGTGGCCAGGGAGAGGGGAGAGGGAGGGGCAAGAGGAAGGTGGGCGATGGGAAGAGAGGGAAATTGGTTTGGTGAAGGCCCAGAGGGGGTCTTGGAGGATTTGCAGCGAGCCCGAGGGGAAGAACGGGGAGACTGGTCGCGGGGGGGGGGGAAGAGTAGAATGTGAGGGAGGGGAAGTGGGGGAGAATCGATGGAACAGGAGGAAAATTGGCTTGGTGAAGGCCCAGAGGGGGTCTTGGAGGAATTGCAGCGAACCCGAGGGGAAGAATGGGGAGACTGGTGGGGGAGAGAGAAGGCACAGTGGGGGTGGTGGTGGGGGGGGGGGGGGAGACACAGGAGGAGAAATGGCTTGGTGAAGGCCGAGAGGGGGACTTGGAGGAATTGCAGCGAGCCAGAAGGGAGGAAAGGGAAGACTGGTGGCGGGGGGGGGGGAAGAGTAGAATGTGAGGGAGGGAAAGTGGGGGGGGAATCGATGGAATAGGAGGGAAAGGTTTGGTGAAGGCCCAGAGGGGTTGGTTCTTGGAGGAATTGCAGCGGGCCTGGGCAGAAAGGGGAGACTGGTGGCAGAAAGGTAGGAGGAAGGAACCCCACCTATGGGACCTCTGGCAGGTCCTCAAGAAACAGATACGACCTGCACCTGGGGCCCGCCCTGGATGCGTCTGTTTTTGTAGAATTCTCGGGAAACAAATACGACCTAAACCTGGGGTGTAGCCGGCCCTGGATGTGTAAGAGGGGTTGAATAGGGGCTCCATATGCAGCTGTCCTATTGCAACGGACAATAGGTACTAGGTAGGCCTGTTTGTTGGCTTGTTTGTTGGCTGCCCTGGCCAGCTAGCATGAGACTATTGTTTAGGCGCCCCAACAAATCGTCTTTTGAGGCGCCTAAAAAATTGCAACGGACAATAGGTACTAGGTAGGCCCGTTGGCTGCCCTGGCCAGCTAGCATGCTTGTCATGTGGTGTTGTTGTTGTTTCTGGCCTGCGTGTTTAGAGGTGACTTTTGAGTCGACTCAAAAGTCACCTCTTTTGAGTCGACTCAGCTAGCATGCTTGTCATGTGGTGTTGTTGTTGTTGTAGTTTTTGGCCTGCATGTTTAGACTTGCTGGTTCCTACCTGCTTTGCCTGTACCCTGCATATTATCAATGAAGAACGGCTTGAGAGGGAGGGAATAGGAGGAATGTTGTGTGGTGGTGAAAGGCGAGAGGGGATCTAGAAGGAATTGCAGCGAGCCGGGTGGCGCCCGGGTGCATTGAGGTCGTTTTTGAGGTGGCTCAAAGAGATCGTTTTTGAGGCGCCTCAAAGACAGCCTGATGGGACGAAAGGAGAGACTGGTGGTGGAAAGAGAGGGCGCCCGGGGGGCAAGAGGCAGGGAGGGAGAGAGGGAAAAGGAGGGAGAGAGGGGATAGGAGGGAGAGAGGGAATAGGAGGGAGAGAGGGAATAGGAGGAGATTTGGCCCGAAGGGCCAAAGGGGCCTTGGAGGAAGTACAGAGATCCTTAAGGGAAAAAGGGGGAATCTGGTGTGGGAGGGGGAGAGCGGGAGGGGGGAAGAGTTGAGGGGGGGTTGTGGGGGGAAAGGAAGAAGGGATAGTGGGAGGATAAAAAGCTTGGCGAAGGGCCAGGTGAGGTCTTGGAGGATTTGCAGCGAGCCTGAGGGGAAGAAAGGGGAGACTGGTTGGGCGGTGTTGATAAAGCAGAGGGGGAGAGGGGCGGGAAAGGGGAGGAATCGGGGGAATAGGTGGAACAGAAGGCAGCGAGCCTGAGTGGAAGAAAGGGGAGACTGGAGGCGGGGCGCGAAGAGGGGAAGGGGAGGGGGGAGGCGTGGGGGGGAAGGAAGAAGGGATAGGGGGAGAAACATAGGCTTGGCGAAGGCCCAAAGGGGGTCCTGGAGGAATTGCATCGAGCCTGATGGGACCAAGGGGGAAACTTTTGAGGCGCCTCAAAAGTAGTCATAGGCTTGGCGAATGCCCAGAGGGGGTCTTGGAGGAATTGCTGCGAGCATGAGGGGACCAAGGAAGAAACTGGTGGGGTGGCGCGGGGAGGGGTGGCGTGGCGGGGCGAGAGGATGCGGGAGGGTGCAGGCGGAGCGGAGGGAGGGAGAGCGGAATTAGGTGGAAAACTGGTCTGGTGACTTTTGAGTCGACTCAAAAGTCACCAAGAGGGTGCAAGCGGAGCGGAGGGAGGGAGGGAGCGGAGGGAGAGCGGAAATAGGTGGAAAACTGGTCTGGCTGGTGAAGACTTAGACGGGTCGTGAGGCTGCTTTTGAGGCGCCTCAAAAACAGCCTCGTGAATGCTCAGATGGGTGGTGGAAGAGTTGCAGAGAGCCCAGAGAGCCCGAGGGGAAGAAGGGGGGAAGCTGGTGGCATAGAGAGTAATTTCTTAGAGTTGACTAAACAAATCACCTCCAGGGAGATAGAGGGCGGGGTGAAAGGTGGAAGTGGGGAACCAATGTGGGGAGGGTTGGGGGAAAGGACAGAGAAAAAGGGAGGGTTCGAGGGTATCAACGTCACATCCTGCCACCTCCCCCAGGTCCCTGCCCCACCCTCTCCACTACTGCCCCTCCCTCGTTTCTCACCCTCAACACGGCTTACCATCGTAGGTATGCATGCACGCACCTGTCGAGTTGCCACCTCCCCCAGCCCAGGCTTCCAAACTCCCCCCACTGCTGCCCCTCCCTTATTCCTCCCTCTCACTTCCCTCCCATCCGCCTATCAACTTGACTTACCATCGTCTCCACCTGTCGAACTGGCACCTGTCGAGTTGCCACCTCCCCCAGGCTTCCAAACTCCCCCCACTGCTGCCCCTCCCTCGTCCCTCCCTCTCACTTCCCTCCGATTCGCCTATCAACTTGACTTACCATCGTCTCCACCTGTCGAACTGGTACCTGCCCAGTTGCCACCTCCCCCAGGCTCCCACCCCACGTTCCCACCAATGCTACCCCTCCTTTCTCCACATCTCCTCCACACCTACTTTCATCCGCTTTGCCTATTGGTGCTACTCACCTTCTTTACCACCCATCAAGCTGCCATTAAGTTGGCTTACCTTCTTTACCACCCATCGAGCTGCCACCTCCCCCAGGCTCCCAAACTCCGTCCACCGCCGCCCCTACCTTGCCTCTCCCCCTTTCACCTCCAGCCTTTTTTGCCCATTAACTTGGCTTACCTTCTTTGGCACCCGTCGAGTTGCCATCTGTCAAGTCGTCACCTCCCCCAGATACCCATAGTCTCTGCACTGCCGCCCCTACCTTGCCTCTCCCTCTCACTTACCTTCTTTGGCACCCAACGAGTTGCCACCTGTCGAGCTGCCACCTGTCGAGCTGCGGCCGGCCCGCACGCCGCGTCAACCGCCTGTGCAGCCCGCTGCTGCCCTGCGCGTCGCCTCTTTCGGTCGCGCAGCCCGCACCTGCTCTGCGCGCTGCCTTTAGGAGCCAGCGCGCGGCCTACTGCTGCACCGTGCGCCGCCTTAGGAGCCCGCAAGCGGCCCGCTGCTGCAGCGCGCACAGCTTTAGAGGCCCACGTGCGGCCCACTGCTGCCCTCCGTGCTGCCTTAGGAGTCCGTGCACCGCCACTGCAGTCCGTGCGCCGCCACTGCAGCCTTGCACACAGTCTCTCCTTGCTTGCCTTTTGCCTTACCGCCTGCGCACTAGACTTGCCTACGCTGCACGCATGGCGACTCTCAACGTGCTCGCGTTCGATCCGGACGGTCGCCCAGTAGAGTTTACCACCTGGCTTGACGACCTGCAACTGTTCCTTCTGACTGATGCCAAGGACAGTGTTTCCCTGTCTGTGCTGCCATTGCTCGCGCGCCTCGCTATTCGCAACCATCTTCTGATCACAGAGCGGGCGCATTTTAGCAAGCACAAGACTGCCAAGGCGCTATACGACGCTGTAGTTGCGCGCTACTCTTCCCCAGCCACTGCAGACCTCGGTCAACTTATGCTACCCTACCTGTTCCCCGACCTGTCCTCGTTTACCACCGCTGAAGACCTCATCTCTCACCTACGCGCTAGTGACACTCGCCTTCGTGCCGCCCTTCCAGCCGAGTTCCTCGCAGAGAACCACCCCCTGATGTACTTTACTCTCTACTTCCTCATCACTCGCCTCCCTGACACTCTTCGCTTAGTCAGGGACCACTTCCTCGCCCTTGACCCCTATTCTCTCACTGTCGACGACCTCGAGAAGCACCTCCTAGCAGTCGAGAAGAACATTCTAGCTGTAGGTGCTGCTCGTGGCACTCCCCGCACTCCCCTCTTTGAGGGGTGCTCCCCCTCCCCTCTCACCCCCTCCTACGCCTCCGCAGCTGCTTCTGTCGACCTCCTTGGTGCTGAGAAGGTTGCAGCTGCTTCCGCTCCGAGTGGGAAGCGCACCGGCTTCAAGGGAGGCAAGGGTGGCAGGGGTGGCGGACGTGGCGGTGGAGGGGGCGGTGGTGGAGGCGGCGGGGGCGGTGGAGGTGGTGGCGGTGGTCGTGAGGGGTGGAGATAGTGGTGGGGGCGGTGGTGGTGCCGGGAGCGGTGGCGGTGGCAGCGGCGGTGGTGGCGGAGGGGGGAGTGGTGGTGGCGGCGGTGGTGGGGGCTTGGGTGAGGCCAATGGTGGCCAGGGACAGCACCCGCAGCAGCAGCAGCCGCACCCCCACTTCTCAATAGCTTCATGACTGGTATGCCAGGCGTGGGGCGTCTAGGGGTCCTGGTTGCTGCCCCTACATCATTCGCGCAGGTCCCCGCACTGGTCGCCAGTGCACCGGCTTTCACACTGAGTACCACTATTTCGCTCGGCTTAGCGACGCCTGGCGTGTCAAGTTTCCTAATGCTACTGAGTTCCCCAACTGGGCAGACCTGCTTAGGCGTGATGTACCTATCTTTGATCTTGACTATGAGGCTATTCTTGCTGCCATGTTTGCATTGACTGTTAGTGCTGAGGGTGGCTGCTACTTGTGTGTGCCACCTGACCCTGGTATAGCCCCAGGTATAGCGCCTGTGGCACTAGGTGCTTGTGAGTCTGCTCCCCCTAGTACTGCGTTCGCACAGGCCTTGCACACCTTCACACTTGACTCTGGTGCTTCACGCTGTTTCTTTCGCGACAGCACCACACTCACTCCCCTCCCTGCACCTGTTCCTATCTGACTGGCTGAGCCCTCTGGGGGCCCAGTGCTTGCACGATCTTCCACTGTGCTTCCGTGTCCGTCTGGTGAGCTGCCTGGTCTCCACCTCCCCTCGTTCTCTACGAACTTGGTGAGCAACGCCGTCCTTCAGGATCACAGGTTTGACACCTTTACTCCTGGAGGCCAGCGTGTGGCGATCTGCACGTGCTCCCGGACTGGCCGTCACTTGGCCACGTTCATACGTGCCCCTGGGTCCAGTCTGTACAGCCTCACCACTGCATCGCGCTCCACCCCTTTGGTTCCCCAGCTGTACGCGCCTGCTCAGGTAGCTACCCACTGTGAGTGTCGCCGACTGTCGCACAACACTTTCCTGTGGCACCACCGCCTTGGTCCCCCCTCCCTGCCTCGCCTTCGTAACATGCACTCTCGCTTCCTGGTCTCTGGCCTTCCCAAGTCTGTGCCTGCCCTCCCTCCCTCGCCTGCGGCGCCCTGCATTCCTTGCGTCGAGGGGCGGCAGCGCGCCGCTCCTCAATCCTCCTCGTTCCCTCCCACAGAGGCTCCACTGCAGACTCTCCACCTGGACGTGTGGGGCCCAGCCCGCGTCCGTGGACAGGGCGACGAGCGGTACTTCCTGCTGGTCGTCAACGACTACACGCGTTACACCACGGTCTTCCGCTTGCAGGGGGAGGTCCCTGATGTTTTGATCCCCTGGATCCGCGATGCTCATCTCCACCTCCGCGAGCAGTTCCACTCGGACTTTCCTATCCTGCGTCTGCACTCTAACAGGGGTGGTGAGTTCTCCTCAAACCTCTTGGCAAGCTTCTGTGCGGAGCACGGCATCCGCCAGACGTTCACGCTGCCGGCCTCTCTGCAGCAGAATGGGGTTGCTGAGCGCCGCATTGGCTTAGTCATGGAGGTCGCTCGTACCTCCATGATCCATGCCGCTGCCCCCCATTTTCTGTGGCCGTTTGTGGTCCGGTACGCCGCGCATCAGCTCAACCCCTGGCCCCGTGTTTCCTTGCTGGAGACCTCGCCCACATTGCTGTGGACGGGGAAGGTTGGCGATGCATCACATTTCCGGGTCTGGGGTGCTCGTGCCTTTGTCCACGATACCACCGCGCACAAGCTTTCCGCTCGCGCCATTCCCTGCATCTTCCTTGGCTTGGTCCCTGACGCGCTTGGGTGACAGTTTTACGACCCCGCCTCGCGCCGTGTCATTCTGTCTTAGGACGTCACCTTTGACGAGTCCGTCCCCTTTTACCGTCTCTTTCCCTACCGCACTGCCTCTCGACCCTCCCCCCCCCCCCCCCCCCCCCGCCGCTCTTTCTCGCCCCAGGTCCTCCCCAGGTAGACCCCCTCCCCGCGCCAGGTACTGCTTCTTCAGGTCTCTGGTGACTCAGGTCCTGCTGGGGCTGGTGCTGTCTTTGGGGGTGCTAGGCCTGGGGGTGCTGAGCCTGGGGGTGCGGAGCTTGGGGGTGCTGAGCCTGGGGGTGCGAAGCCTACGCGTGAGGACCCAGGAGGTACTGTGCCGGGGGGTGCGGAGTCTAGGGGCGCTGAGCCTCAGCGTGAGGAGCCTGGAGGTGCTAAGCCTGCACGTGAGGAGTCTGGAGGTCCTGAGCCTGGGGGTGCTGTGTCTAGTGGTGCTGAGCCCGGGCATGAGGAGCGTGGGGGTACTGAGTCTGGGGGTGCGACGCCTGAGGGTTTTGAGTCTGCTGCTGCGCGTTCTCCTTGGAGTAGTCGCCTTCGTCCACGTGTGCCTCTCACCTCACAGCAGCTACACGACTGGTACGGTCGCCGTCAGGG